GGGTGGAGGAGCAGTTCCAGGTCAGCCGGGCCCCAGCTGTAAACAGCGGCCACTGTCAGATGGTGTCTCATCTGGAAGTCCCAGCCCAGGACTTCAGAGTCTGGGAGCTGTCCCCCTGATGGCAGAAATCAGCCACCCAGGTGCCGAAATCATGTCCTTGGCAGGCAGAGTCCTCACAGCCACCACTGACTGTGGACTGCTCAGAGCCACAGGGTACGGGGCCTCAACTGCCTGGGGCCACCAAACAGTGTTGCTGGTAAGTAATATGACACCACGGGCCCAGTTCTTAACAGGCTAAGTCAGGCCCCCAGGCCACCTCAGACCTCCCTGGGGTTTTGCTCTTGTGGCAGGCCCAGACCTGAGTCTAGGGCACCAAAAGGATGTGACCATCACAACATCTTGATTAGCTTTATTACTATTGATGCTCTCTGCAAGATCAGTGCCTTATTTTGCCTCACATGTCACAAACAGGTCAAGTTCATGGTCGAATTGTTCTGTTTCCACCACGGGGGCAACATGCATGGCTGTTCTCCTGATGGTCCAGTTCCACTCAGCAAGACCATTAGCAATGGCGGGTTGAAACTGCACAAAAGCGACTGTTTACATGGATCTGAGTGGGCTATAGGGGACCCTCAGGATGGTGCAGAACCCCTGAGCAGGAAACCTGTGGAGATGCCACCAGCCCAGGCCCAAAGGGGACCTGGAAGGAAAGAGTGATAGAGAGCTCCTGGGGCGCAGCTAGCCCACTCCCAGCTGCCGTGGAGGGGGCTGGGGAGGTAAATACCCCAACCTACTCCTTCCTCCTGTCTTCTTCCAGAGGACCCCCACCCCCCGGCATTGGCCAAACCTGGCTGGAAGCCATGGGGCAAGGGCACCCAATGATGTCATCCATTCCCATACAGTGTCCCTGGAGAAAAGTCAGGAAAGGGATGGAGAGGGGACCTGAGGGGCAAGTCAGGATCTCTGACACACAAGGGAGGGTGCCGTCTTAAGTAGGAGGGGTCATCTGAGCCAAGACCTGGAGGGGTGCAGTGGCTCATCTACTTGTCTAAATGTGTCTCCTAAAACCTGGTAGAAACTTGACCTTCCACCTGACAACATTGGGAGGCGTGGCCTTTTGGGAGGTGTTTAGGTCAAGAGGACTCCTGTCTCGTGATGGATTAATGCCATTATCAATAGGCTTGACAGGGCTGGGATTGTGGCTCAGCGGTCTAGCACATGCGAGGCTCTGGGTTCAATTGAGGCTCTGGGTTCGATCCTTAGCACAACATAAAAATAAATAAATAAAATAAAGGCTTTGTTTAAAAAAAAAGCTTGACCAAGGCAGTTTGTTTCTTCTTTCCTCTTTTTCCCTTCCACCTTCTGTCTTGTGAGGACACAGCATTCCCTCCCTCTGGAGAGTGTGGAGGCCAAGGCACCATCTTGGAAGCGGAGAGCAGATCCTCACCAGACACCAAATGTGCCACTACTTTGATCCTGGACTTCCCAGCCTCCAGAATTCTAAGTAATAAGTTTCTGTTCTTTATGAATCATCTAGTCTCAGGCATTTTCTTATAGTAGCACAAACAGACTAAGACCGAATTTGGTAGCACAAGAGGACGTCACATAACAAACACTTCAAAAAGCAGAAGCAGCTTGGGAATGAGAGATGGATAGAGGCTGGGCCAATGGAAGGCCCCACTGGAAAAGCCTGAGCTGCCGTGAATAGAGCATGGAGGGCAGTTCTGGTGAGGGTGCAGAAAAGGAGCCATGGGAAGGCCCTTTCTTCTCAGAGATGACTTACATGTTGTGACAGTCATGCTGATTCTGATTAGGTCCCAGACAAAATGAGGAGCCGGGTATTGGAACCCAGAGGATAGGCCATCCTTGTTATAAAGTGGGAAAGAACTTGGCTGAATTGTGTCTGTGTCCTGGGACTTTAGGATGTTTGACAAATGGTATCTTTAAGCTGTAAAGGGCTCAGGATGTGTGGCAAGGTTTCTCTTAATCCCTTACGACAAAATGGGAGACAAGAAAAATGATTTAAAGAAGAAGAGGATGATTTATAATTAAAAAGGAAGCAGACCATAAATATTTGAAAATTTCTTAGCTTGGAAAAACAAAGAAAATGTGTATGAAGGAGAAAAAGCTGGGGCTGGGGTTTGGCTCAGAGGTAGAGTGCTCGCCTAGCATGCCTGAGGCACGGGGCTCGATCCTCAGCACCACATAAAAATAAAATATATTATTTTCACTTATAACTAAAAAGTAAATATTAAAAAAAGGAGAAAAAGCCAAGAGTATAGCCAAGCAATTATATGATAAGGAGACAGTGTAAACAGAAGGAAACCAGCTGCTTTATAAACTTTGTATTTTGTTATAGCAGCAAAAACAGACTCATACACCCTTTCATCCTAACAACTCTACATAAGATCTGTGATCTTACTCTCCCAATTACATAGTCGAGGTGGCAGAGGACAGTAAGAATAAATGACATAAAGTTGTGTAGGCTCACGCAACTGAGAGTTGGGACAGTTTTTTCTTTTTAAGACAGGGTCTTACTATTAAGTCGGCAGGCTTCCCTTCCCCCTCCTCTTTCATGGCAGCTGGGGGCGGGACCGAAATGGCCAATCAGAAGCTGAAATGGCACCGGGGACCCCCCCCAACCACCACAGTTGCTACTGAAGCAATAGCCCTGTCATCTCACATCAGCTCTGACCAACCCAGTGACAGATACCAACCCCCAAACTCAGGCTTGGCCAACCTGCTGTCAGTAGCTGCAATTTAGATGGCCTAGGCGCTCCCATCTGCAGCTTCCCTAATTAGCATTGTTCTTGTCCCCACACACACACCTGCCCTCACCCTTTTGCTGATGGGTGAACCTCCCCCAGAAGCACCCCCTGATAAACCTTCTTCTGTGCCTCATTCCTGTTCCATGGTTCCTCACCTCACCCGTCCCTTTCTGCTCTCTGCTTACTGTGCTGTCCAGGGTCCAGGCTGGTTTTGAATTTGTGGGCTCAAGCGATCCCACTGCCTCAGCTTCCTGAGTCGCTGCACCATTCCCAATTGTAGAAGTGGGATTCAATCCCAGGCAGTTTAGCCCCAGAGATCTGGCCCTTAAAATATGATACAAGAGCATGGTAGAGAAAAGGCCAGAACACATAAACCTGAGATCCACATTCAGAGTTGTTATTTATTGAGCACTGACTGTATACTAACCCCTGGGTTAGGTGCTACGAGGTGGGTGATTTTTAGTGGGACAGCAATGTGGCATTAAGTCACACTGAATCACAGTGCGATGGTGACTTCCTTCCCAATTCTCCTCATGGAGAAGCCTCAGCTTGGTGCGGTCTTTCTCTCAAACTCTTGACACCTGGTTTTCTCACTTTCTAACCCCCAAATTCATAGGCTCTGGTTAGATCAAAACATGGTTTTATTTTTATTGTCTTTATTTTTACAGTTGTATGTTATTTAAGTGAATCACACTTTTTTTTTATTTACAGAGAAATTGCCACTTATTTTTTTTCCCTTATGGATAAATTTATGGAAGAAAGAAATAGCTGATTTAAAGGGACAATACTAAGGCTGGAGACGTAGGTTGGTGGTAGAGCAGTTGCCTAACATGTACAAAGTCCTGCGTTGAATCCCTGGTAAGGAGAAAAAAGGCAGGGACAAGGTTGGGTTACACATTCAGGTGGTGCACAGCTATGGCAAAGTCACAAAGATGGTACAGAAATACCCGATGTTTAGAATATTTAGACATACTTCCTTTGTTTTGTGGTACTAGGAATTGAACCCAGGAGTGCTTTACCACAGAGCTAAATCCCCAGTTCTTTTTTGATTTTTTTTTTTTTAGTTGTTGATGGATACAATACCTTACTTATTTATTTATATGTGGTGCTGAGAATCAAACCCAGTGCCTCACACATGCTGGCAAGTGCTCTACCACCGAGCCACGACCCCAGCCCCTCTTTTTCTTTCTTTCTTTTGCTTAGGGCCTCATTAAATCGCTGCTACGGGCCTTGAACTTGCCATCCTCTAGCCTCAGCCTCCAGAGGTGCTGGGATTACAGGTATACACCACCAAGAGCAGACTGGGGTGTGCAGAGGAGTAATGGAGGCGAAGAAGGGCTGGGTAGGGGTCAGGTCAGGGGGCACGTGAACACCAGGGCAATCAGGGTGGGTTTCACTCTGTCGACCACAGCAGCCAGACGGGGCATAGGCAGGGAGCACGGTCAGCGTCGTGCTTGGCAGAGCTCCTCTGGCCTGAGGGCAGTGGGGGCTCAGCGGGCAGTGGGGAGACCCCGGGGGAACAGGACCCGGATGGGGTAGAAGGGGCCTGACCAGGAGGACTCAGGAGCCCCCGAGGTCTCAGGCTGCACCGTTAGCCACCGGGGCAGCTGGCTGCATAGAGGTGGACCCTCCAGAGATGGCCTTTCAGTCTGTCCTCCTCTCGCCCCCAGGTGCCTCCCAGTGTGACTCACTGGGAACTTTCAGTGACCTCCTGGGCTCTCCTGAGTGCTGGGGTTTGGATGTCGTCTGTTCCCGTGTTCTGGGGGCTTGGTCCCCTGTGGGATGGTATCGGGAGGTGGTGCAGCCCCAAGGGAATTGGGACCCAATGGGGGAAAGTCACTCTCTCAGTCCCTCTGGACTCCAAGTTTCCAAGACCCGGGCCTCATGCGAGGTGATGAGGTCACTGGGGGCACTGCTCTTGGAGGAATCAACGCCTCTCTCTAGGAGTGGATTAGATCTTGGGGGACTAGATCAGTTACCTCGAGAGAGGTTTGTTATCAAGCAAATTCAGCTTTCTCAGTGCTCTCTGGTACTTTCTTTCTCACCGTGGGATCTGTCTTTTCTCTCATTTGCCACGTGACGCCACCTGCCATGAGGCCCTAGGAAAAGCTGTTATAAGCACTCTACTCTTGGATCTCCAGAACTGTGAGCTAAATAAACCTCTTTTTTTTATAAAGGACCCAGTCACCAGCATTTTTGTCACAGCAACAAAAAACAGACTAATACAATGAGTCAAGGTAACATCAGCAGAAGCTAGCCCACCTCAGTCTCATTAGGTGGGGGAGTTGGAAGTACAATCAGAGAGGATGGAAAACGTGGACTCATGCCTCCTCGTTTTGTCTTTCTTCGTGGGGAAATTTCGATGTCTGCTTGATCGCTTAGGGTGATTCAATTTATTCCATATGATGAACATCTGATTTTCCAAGACCTTCAGCTTTAGTTCACTGAACAAAAGCCGTTCAAGGATCTTGTCCTGGAGCGCAAAGCAGGCCTGCAGCCTCTCCACTTGTTTTGGGTTCAGGTTATTGTTGTTGGCGTGGGCTTCCGGAGTCTTTGAATTTATGGCCTCCTCCTAAGCTCCCCACCACCAGGAAAAGGGAAAAAATTGGTTATTCATGCTCATCCCTTCTTGCTCCATGCCCTCATCTTAACCAACTCTCTCACCTGCTTCAAAAGGAAGCAGTTTTGCCATCTTCTGTGACAGTGGGGACTCAGCAAGGGAAGTTCACTTTCTCGGGCCACATGGACCCCAAACTTCCAAGACCTTTGGTTGCCTTTGGTTCATAGGAATGGTCTGCCATTGACATAAAGTCCTTAACCCAATACAGCTGTCCCCAGAGTTTGTTTTTCCAGTGTGCCTCTTGGAGCATTTTGTCAGGGCTCATGGATCCTTCAATTGCCAAGTCTCAGTGCTCTCATAGAATGCTTCCCCCCACCCCCCAAACTTCTTGGGTGAAATTCTTTTTTTTTTTTAATTTGTTGTTGTTGTTGATGGACCTTTATTTTATTTATTTGTATGTGGTGCTAAGAATCGAACCCAGTGCCTCACACATGCTAGGCAAGTGCTCTACTACTGAGCCTCAACCCCAGCCCCATTGGATGAAATTCTTTATTTTAGTTCGGTTTTATTTATTGTATATTCACATGGTGCTGAAGGATCGAATCCAGGGCCTCACCCGTGCTAGGCAAGCGCTCCACCACGGAGCCCCAGCCCCAGCCCCAGCCCTGATGACATGCTCTGATCTCAGTAACGCTCATTCAGTTTTGCTGTCCTCTTCCTCTCAGCTAATAATATCACCTGATCCTTATTTTTGGATTCAACTACAAACTCCTGGTATCTAAAAACATTTTAATACGATTTCAGGTGTGCAAAAAAGTAATTATCATAATATCTGTGTTCCCACACCAGTTTAAGAAGGACAATATCACAAATAGAATTAAAATCTCCTATGGGCTCCTTCTTCTAAAATATTCTCCCCACCCCACCCTCAGTTGTGATCCTGAGCGTGTTTTCTCTGCAGTACTTGGGATTGAACCTAAGAGTGTTCTACTGGTGAGCTACATCTGAGCCCTTTTCATTTTTTATTTTGACACATGGTCTCCTTAAATTGCTGAGGCTGGCCTTGAACTTGCGACTCTTCTGCCTTAGCTTCCCAAGTTGCTGGGATTATGGGTGTGTGCCACCGGATCCATCTGTAATCCTGAATTTAGTATTTACTTTTTCCATACATTTTAAAATCAGAGGCTCTTTTGCCTCTCCCCAATGACATGGGACAATATCTGAAGATAATTTTGGTTGTCACAAACAGGGTAGGGGTGTGATGCTGGACTCTTGGGTAGAAGCCAGGGTACTGCTAAACTTTCTAATGCACAAGACAGCTGGACAACAAATTATGCCACCGGGATGTCACCAGTGTCAAGGTCTAGACCTCCTCCCTTAGCATACTTTCACTACACCTATACATCTATAAACAATACAGGATATTGTTTTGATTTTGTTGTTGTTCTGGGAATTTAACCCAGGGGTGCTTTACCACTGAGCCACATCCTCAGCCCTTTTGTTTAATTTTGAGATAGGGTTTCACTAAGTTGCTGAAGCTGGTGTTGAACTCTTCCTATCTTAGCCTCCAGAGTCACTGGGATTACCTGTATGCACCACCTTTTCTGATACTATATAAAAGGTATCTGCTAGAGTTTGGACCCGGAATGTGTCCCAAAGATTTGCAAAGCAGAGACTTAGTTCCCAGTTATTAGGAGACGGTGGAAACTTTAAAAGGTGGGTCCGAGAGAGGTTTTCAAGTCATGGGGGGGATATCCTCTACCACACCCCCAAACAGAGGCCTAAAAGTGATGGGTTGCCTGATCATGGAGCCTGAGACAAAATAAACTCTTCTCTTTATAAATCGATTGTTTCAGGTATATATTATACAGACACAATGTCATAGTCTACACTAGGTGCATTTCTTCTGTCTTTGTGACTGTTCTCTAAAGTTGTACCTAGGTTGGTACTTGTATCACTAGCCATTTGAAATCATATCACTTAGAGTAGCCCATACCATGTTGAGGCATGTGGACTTCAAACATGAAGTAGGAGCATATACAAGGTCACCATTTTACAGTTAAGACCACTGAGGCCTTGTGAGGGACATGTTTTATCCACCACCACTAAGAGGTATCTCCAGAGCAGGGACGAAAACCAGCTTTAAGTTCCTCAGTCTTCCCCCCATCATCCTTTCACTGTCCGGCCCTCCACTCCCCAATCCAGCAGAATATCCCATAACCCTCAGCTGATGCTAAATCCCCTCTTGCTCACCTGACAGTTCTCTGAGGAGGTGGGCTTGAGTTCATACTTGACCAGCCAGTTGCTAAGCAACAGTAGAAGGAATAGGAACCCAAACAAAACTGGCTTATAGCTTATCAACCAAGCCACCAAAGCTCCCAGGGTGCCCGAGGAAGCAAGTATGGCAAGGAAATTCCTAAAAACAAGCATCAGTTCCCCCAACATTGTGGCATGGAAGAACACGGGCCCCAGGACCCTGCCTCAGTCCCCTCCATGACAGGAGGCACGGCCACTCACTCCTGAGTCATAATTAGTCCCTTCCCCCCACCCAGCTGCTGCATAACAATGTTAACTACACCTATGTGTATTCACTGTGTGCCAGACTCTTTGACAGGCAGTTTTCAAGCACGTCTCACGACTTCCTCACAACCGCCAGGTGATGCACACCTGGAATCCCAGTGCCTCAGGAGGCTGAGGCAGGAGGATGGTGAGTTCAGAGCCAGCTTCAGTAACTTGGTGAGTTCCTAAGCAACTCAGTGAGACTCTGTCTCTAAATAAAATATAAAAAAGGGGTGGAAATGTGTCTCATCGGTTAAGTGTCCCTGGGTTCAATCCCCAAATCAAATCTCAAGCTTTATCAGATTGTTAAATGTGCAAACCAGCCAGGTCGACCCACAGGGTTTAAGACAAGTTTCAACAGCCTGTCACCTCAAGTTCCGTGTCTCACAGGTAACCAGTTCTCAATCTTCTAGTTGTTTCCTTGGCATTTACCTTTATATTCCCAAACATTATGCTTATACTGTTATTTCTTGATTTCTCGACTACCATTTATTCTGGGATGGACCTTGAGGATTTAGCTCTCACTTGGTGCCTCCTGTGACCCTGCCCTCAGCCCCTCTCTTCTCTCTCCCCCTCCAATCTTTTTTCTCCGTGCTCTCAGTATAATTCTATCACTTTGGTAAAACAAAATTCATTGACACATCAATATGTTGTGCTGTAATTACATTTTCTTTTTTGCATAGCTTTCTTTTTCTTCCTGGATTAGTTGTCTCTTTTTTCCCCCTCTTCCTGTTTACTTAGTTGTTTGTTTTTAATTTAACTTCATTGAAGTACAGTTTACAGTAAACAAATACACCTATTTTGCATGCCTAGTTCATTGAGTTTTGCTGAATATTTACACCCCTGGAACCATCACTCCATTCAAGCCAAATCATTTCCATCCCTGGCTTTGATAATCCCCTCCTGGTCTTTGGCGGTCAACCCCTAACTCTTATTTCAGGCGACCACTGACTGGATTTTATTCCTAGAGATGAGTTTTTTTTTTTT